CTTCCTTCACACCCTCGTATTCCAAGATATATATCTTTTTATACTGCCTTGCTTGCAAGGTTCTGTGTTCTCCGTGAACTAGTCTGCTGCCGCAAGGGGTGGCCAAGGGGCCATGCTTTCAAAATTCCGTTAAGTGAACGTAAGTACTTACGCTCTATTTTCTTGTCTATGACTACTGGATTTTCCTTGAAAGGCCGTCAATGATTGGCTGATGAACTTACGATCTCTTAACTTTTTTTGAAAGTATAGGCCCAAGTCTCCACTAGGGGCCGGCGATCCCCCGGCTCCCTAAGGCCTAAGCCATTATTACTCATTTCATGAGTTAACTGCGAGCATTTTAACAGATTTTTGTGTCCTGCATCCAGGAATACCAGTGTTATGATGAACGTCAATGAAGCTACCAGAAGACAGTAATCTATCATTTCATAGGTAAAATTAATTAAAATCCTGCATGATTTGTAAAGGTGTGTCATCAGTTGGCATCGCGGGTCGAACTAAACAAATGAAGCCCTCTCCCTTGCTGGCGTTCCGCGGGCACTGTTAAGTGTTAACGCATAATAAATGTCATGAAGCTTCTCAATGAAGCTTCATGGGACGAAGCTGGTATGGGACGAAATGCTTTTAATGCCCGTCAGACTCTTTTAAACTTTGAGAACTTCAGTGCCCTGCCCTAATTTATCTCCTGCCGTCTTTTGGCATTCGTCAAATTATTTGAACATTTATTTGACTACTCCTCTGGTCTTTCCACCCGTTTCTTTTTGTTCTCTAGATAATAATAGAATAAGAATCGGCGACAGGCCTACGGCCTAATAAACTCTTACACCGCTTTGCTATGCTATGTAACAATGTAATTCCCTCTCGCTGACCGTAGTGGCGGATTGATATGCCCGCCCTGACGCCATTACGACGTCCCGATAGCGTGCTCAACTCACGAGACCCTCGTTAGACGCGACTATTTCAAGTGTAAAAATATAATACGTTTTGATAAAGATAATTCTGCCAAACATCTATTAACAAATCTACCTATTAATGACACTTCTAATTAGTCCGGCAGCCTATTAAGGGATTAATTTATCAATGGTTTATGCGATATGAATATCTTTAATCGTATTGACATGTTTTGTCTTGTATCTCTTTCGTAATGTTTCAAAATAGCCGTGAAACAAAAGTAACAGTCCGGCACAAAATTATTCAGCTGACTTACTCGTATGTCAACCACAAGCCGATTCTTTTATCTGACTCATTTTTTATGTTCTCAGTAATAGTCACTTTACCGCAAAGATAATAACGATCCTAATAATGTGAATTTGTTAATCATGGCTAGAAAGTTTCTCTTTTATACCGTGGAATAAGTCTCTTTGTCACAACACTCGCGAGGTCATCACCATACTGTTCGAAATTTCTTGAGCCAACCGCTGGATTATCACGCAACTTAGCTACAGAAACTAACTTGTGTTGGCATTTCGATTTTTTTTATCCGTCAATATTGTGGTCCATCGAATTCGAGGAACTAAACTAACCGAGATGTGCACTAACGTGTCGGTGGTGTGTCCCTCTGTGGTCTACGCTGCCATGCTCACTGAGCTCACCTGCGTCCCTGACATTCAGGTTAGTTTCCGCTGTAATGAACTCAATGCTTCGCTTCTTTTAAAAATCATTTAGTCATTCATCTCACGGGTTGAGTGTTGGCATTAACTTGAGGCTGTTAAAGTAAAGTGAGTGAAAAAGATCGGTTCACCGTATAGTCTGAAATTAAAAAATGTCTCTAGATTACATTTAGGTTAATAAATTTC